AATATATTTTTAAACTTTTAGTTTAAAAATGATAAAAACTAAACAGCCTACAGTATTTTTACAGTCTTTATTTTACAGTTAAAGTATGTGTTTATCAAATAAAGTCTAATGTTACAACTAATCAAGGATCCCTTTTAAATACTACATATATTGAGGCTGGGTATGGTTAAGAACCTCACAATTCTGTTCAACATTGCTTTAATGCTTCAGTATCGATTTCAGAATAAGAGCACAAATAATTCATTAGAGTCCYTGTGGATAATTTATAGATTATTATTTTCAGAAATGGTATATAAAATAAAATATCTGAAAATAAAGCAGGAGCACAATAAAACTCGCTCAAAAAATGGAGTTAAAACATAAAACATGATAAACTGAGGATTTTCTGAATCAATATTGAGTTTTGAAACAAACTATTGCAATGCCTTGATTCAATATTTTTACCCTCCCAGATACTGTATAATATACTTCCTGAAATTAATCTGTTACAAAAACTGTTGATGTTAATTAGTAATTTTATTTTTAAGAAAAAGAGGGTGCAGATTTATCCGCTGTTTCAACAGTGCAGTTAACTCTTCAACAAACTGAAGCGTCCACTCGGTTTTACTGAAAATAAATATTTTTAGTTTAGTAGCTGGAAGCTAAACGACTGAAGTGGTAAACTGGTTAACAAACTGTAACTAATGCAGAAAACTACCTTTTCCTGTTAATTATGGTTATTTAAGCACGGCTGCAGAGTGTAATAAAACATGATTAAACCTGTAATTAAACCTGCTTGCACACGTGATGCTGCAGCRTTGCTTCGCTTCTCGTTTAAAAGATGTTTGTTTTTCACTCCTTAATGAGACGACTGAACTGAACCAGGTCTGGACCTCCAGCAGAGTCGGGTTTTCAGCTGGACTGAGGTTAACTGGAGGCAGATGTGAAGAGTTATCTGAATGTTTCTGCTTTTTGCAACAAAGAAACGTTAAAACGCATCAGCAAGTTGCAACAAAACAAACTAACAGATAAATTCATCCAAAACTGAAACAAGCTCATTTTTTTACGTTGTTTACATCTTGGATTCATGATGTCTCCATCTGTCTGACCTGAGCTGCAGGTGGGACTCAACAGAGACCTTCAAACTAAAAAAATCCAGAGTTGTGTCTGGTCTGATGGCTCCTCAGGACCCTTTTATCTGGATTTGTTGGGTTGTTAGAGCTGCAGTCCATCCTAATCCTCCTGCTGACCCTTCATGACCTCAGAGCAGATATCTGAGCATTAAAACATAAAACYAGTCAAATATAAACATCCATTCTGTGGTTTATTCTGAACACTCAACTTTTTATTAAGGTTTTATTGAAGAAACGCAGAGATGAAGACTTTCAGGTGTCCATCAGTTTGGGACAGGAGCAGAAATCTCTTCAAGCTCTGATCCAAACCCAGAACCACCACAGAACCCAGGTTCGGTTCATATTTTACAGCCACATATAGACTTATAGACTCTGCAGTTTTTAAATCTATAAATCAGAACCACCACAGAACCCAGGTTCGGTTCATATTTTACAGCCACATATAGACTTATAGACTCTGCAGTTTTTAAATCTATAAATAAATTTACACAGCTCAGAACCAACTGTAACTCAGAGGAGAAACGTTCTGAGGAAACTTCTGCTTCAGTAACTTTATCACTTCGTTCTGTTGGACGTTAAAAACGTCTCGGCAGCAACAGAACAGAAGCAAATAGTTGAACTTTAAACGGTAACATTTCTCAAGAGTGTGAAGTCATTTAATGTGTGTTTCAGAGCTGACGGGGGGAGTTTTCTCCTGACATCAAAGCAGAGCCGTTTGTTTTTCTCCTGTGGAGRAAACCCTGCTGCTGGTTTCAGGTGCAGCTGGATGTATAATCCTGAGGGGGGTGAGGAGGGAGGGGGCTACTTTGTTCTCATTGATGGGATGTGGATTCTGCAGTGTTGTATAAGGTACCACAATGTGACACTTGAGTAAAAGTACAAGTATCTTACCATAAAATTACTTTAGTAAAAGTTAAAGTCTCCTTTAGGAATATTACTTGAGTAAAAGTGTTAAAGTATGTGATATTTGTTGTAGTTAAGTATTAAAAGTCTTAAAGTATGTGATATTTGTTGTAGTTAAGTATTAAAAGTCAAAGTGTAGATTTAAAATGAGCAGTTATATTTTCTGTAAGGACATTTATTAGGAGGTGACC